ACGGCCACACAGCCCGGAAGACCCACACCAGCCATCGTATGCCGGCCGTGAAAGCCTTCGACAATACACCATAATTTCTGTTGCTAAGTGATGTGGTCGTAAAGCAAGATGTCACGTGAACACATTGTTTAGTGACGGCAATCCTCTGTTGCAGTCATTAAGCAATTTTTGCCAGTCATTAGCCGAGAACCCACCCCAATCCAAGCCATTCTGGGCTTGGTCCCTCCCAGCCCTGAGCCTCCATAAGGTAAGGGACTGCCATCCCCCACCTGCCTATCTCCCCCCTATCTCTGCCCTTTTGGCCATCCTGAATCCTGCCTTGCAGGTCAGTAAGAAGCTCTAGAACTGTGTGGCTCTGGGGCTGCTCGCCGTGCCCTGGGAAGTCCCAGCCACCCCACCCCAGTCCCAACTGCAGTCGCCCTCACCACCTTGCATTCTGAGATACCTGCTGCCCTGCACTCTGCCACCCCAGCTGATCTTTGCTGTCTTCTTGCTCCCTTTGCTGATGAGGTGTGCCTGGCTGGGTGGGCTGTGCTGCCGCTCTGGGGTTGCTTCTTGCCAAAAAGCCCCTTTGTGCTGTGCTCCTGGGCCAGGCTGGGGCTGTTTTTTGCAGCTCCAGAGCCACCACATGCCAAAATGTCCCTTTGCGTGAAGAAATGTTTTACTCATGGAAAAACAATGTACATGTGGTTATGGTGCAAAAACAATGAAATATTTGGAGATGATTTTTGAGGGGGAAATTAATGTCATTTTACCACAGACAATTCAGTTACTCTCATTAGCTTTACTACATTTGCAGTATTTATAGATTAAATATAGATCAAAATGCTTTACTGAAAGTTAAAGTGTGAATAGAGCATTTATTAACTGCAGCAATGTTGACATTTGTTAAATATTGAAAATATTTGCATGATCTGTTACTTACATATTGGAAAGGAAACATTTGGACCACTGTGGTAATTGAACAGTTAATGTATAACAGAGTAAAGGTTTAAGTAGCAATAGTAACTTCTTTGCTGAATGGTATTATTATATTTTTATATAAATAAACAGCTTTCTTTCCTATCTGGTTTGTATATTGATATTTGGAATAGTTCAAATCTGAGTATTATATTTTTGGATAGTGAAAGTGAATAGATTTATTTTTCTTATTTATTTAGTCTATGATATTGCAGTAGTTGAGGTAAAATATTGATACAGATGATGGGTGTTATTAATCAATTTTTGATTTTTTGGGTATGTTTTCTTTTAATTCATTTAAAATCTTAAATATAACAAAATTTTACTATGCTCACGAATACTGGAGTCTATGACTGTCAGAAGAAGAAACAATGGCCACAGATCAACGGTCCCCTCGCTGCATAATTAGGGGATGAGATTAATTCTTCCTCTACATTTATGGTACATATATGGAGGGTGAATGAATAATATTCATCTGTGCAAGAGGAGAATATCAACGCATCATCTTTTTGTTGAATACATGATTATTCCCTAAGAGCTGTGAACATTAATCACTCAATCATGAAGTACGATGCATTAGTCTAGGAAGGATATGTATTTGAATCCTTCTTCAGTTAATTTATTTTGAACATGAATGTTCTGCAAGTTACCATGCAAAAAGTTATAGAAAGAGGTTCATTTAAAACTATACTTTTGCATAATGCTACGGTAAATTATTAGCTTTCGTATGATAAAGCAATGATTTTATTTCTTACTGCCACAATAATTGGAGTAAAGAAAGACCAACAGAGCTTCCACCAGATGCAGGGCCTGTATCCAACCATCTCTTGGATATTGTCATAAAAGCGGTTTACACCTAAATAAATAAACATATAAATAAATAACTGTTAGTTGTCTTGAATAATGAATGTGTTGATAAGGGGTGTGTGATTCGGTGCATGGGTCCAATACATCATAGAATCTTTACGGCAACTTTTATAGAAGCAGTGGTTTCCATGTAATTCAGAGAATAAGCTAAATGTTTAGACAGGAGATATCTGAGCACTTTTCAGCAAGATCTTGTTGAACAGAACATGATGGAAGCGAAGATGGATTTTAACACTGGTGAAATGGAAGACACATGTGCCTTGTAGAGAGGCAAGAAGTAAAGAATGGCAGTCCAAATAATATCCAATATATTGCTTATTTTTCTTACAGCAGATAGTAGGTTAAGCAACAATTTGTGTCCAGCATTCTACAAACAGAGTTCCTCAGAGACAGTAGCATTAGGAACTGTTATCAAGGTTAAAGTCTTTCTGTAAATACAGTGCTGTCTGGAGAGAACATAACTACGATCAAATGCAAGCCAATCTGTAAATAAAATAGTGCTTCTGGCATGTATCTAAGATACATTTATACCAGAGAAATCAACAAAAGCAACATTAAAATTTATGGAATTTGCTTAAGTCCTATGGATTGCCATGAAAACAGTGGTTTGGAAAAAAAAAGAACTTTGCACTGTTTGTGAATTCTCTGCATCTGACTTACCATAATAACTATCTGGGTTATAATTCTGGCACTTGAGCTACAGCCCTTTGACAAAGTTAAACTGCATCAATTGGATCCAAGTAATTGAAATGGTGTCCTCCTAGCCCACCTGCAGGAGTTGCAATGGTTCCATTCCTTCCTCAATAGGTGGTGGTGGGGAAAGAGAGATCACCCCAAAGGCTACACCTTTGCGGGGTGCTATGGGGTTGGTCTCTCCTATTTACATGAAGCTACTGGGAGAGATCGTCTGGCAGTTTGGAGTTCAATATTATCAATAGGCTGATGGCACCCAGCTTTACATCACTACTTCAGGCCAGCCTGAAGTATGCTGTTAAAATCCTGTCCTGGCACCTGCATGTTATAAGGGTCTGGATGGGATGGGAAAGAACAGGCTTAAACTGAATCCTAGCACTGGGCAGGAAATAGTAATGCTGTGTTTGAGGCTAAACAGAATTAAAATCAACAACTGCAATAGTCCAGAATTGCCTTTCAGACTCAGGTATTCCACTGAACTGACTTAAGGCCACACAATTTCTCCCTTATAATTTAGGCAACTTTATGGGATTGTGTGAGGAATAAAATGAATGGAAAACCCTTATGTACTGCCTTGAACTCTCATCAAATAAGATACTAAACATCACATACCGTAACACCAGGATATGGAGATACACTCAAAGAACACAAGAAATAAAAGACTCATTCCACTTGCTGAGTAATAGTCAAAAAGCTTGAACACATAGAGCCCACCCTGCAATTGGAAAGATAGATATATATATATTCAGTTCCTCATACTGATTTCTGAAATGTCCACTTCTACAGTATTCTGTTTAAGGTTTAAGCTTATCTTTTCACTGGAGTTCCGTCTATGTTATTTTGTAATACAGGCTACAAGAATTCATTTATTATTTATAGAGAGATCATACAGGTACACCTATTCATTTGATTTCCCAACTATATAATTTCATTAATAAGTTGCTTAATGCTCTAAATGTGTACACCCCCCCCCCATTCTTGATTCTGGCTTTTAATATAAGTAAATAGATAGACACTAAGAAAAGAATGTGAATATGATTTTACTTTTGCATTCCATATTTTATAAGAAATACTTAGCTTTGGATTATGTGACAAACCACGAGAGAGAGATGTTCTATACTATTCCTGAACTAAGCAACGACAAATTTATAATATTCATAATAACAAGGACTTTATGTGATTCTTCTAGCTGAGGTTATTGGCAGATAATGGAATGACTACGTTTTTGCTGCAGTCCTAGGAATGAGTCCTACTGTAGTGAATAGGATTTCCTTTGAGAAACATGTATAGGATTCAATAAAACATGCTTCAAATATAAATACTGTAACCAACTACACTGTGCTAATCTCAAATTCTTTAGATGACATTAAAAGCTGAAATCTTTCCTATTGGCAGGCTCTGGGCTACCCAAAGGTCCAAATCCCCAGAGGACCTCTGGGCTGTGAGGAAACAGCTTTGGCTGCTTCAAGGACTTAGCTAGAATTGGAAACTCTTGCTTATTTCACCCATATCTCAACGACTCTTCTGTTTGGTCTTGATTTCTGCTGTAAAGATTGTCTAAAAATCATAGATGAAACTCTTAATTCTTCAGTGTAGGATAAAATGCAATTATATCAAATTTGTGACAGATAAGTCCCAATATATGGCTTACCTGAGTAATATTAGACAGTCCTATCAGGTATGACACAACGCACACAACAGCAATGAAAATTTCTCTTCGACTGCGTAACAGTTTTGGAAATTCATCGACTAGTGCTGTTATGAATCCTTCAACAGTACAGAACTAAAATGAAAGTAGAAGTTACATACAAATCAGACCAAAAATATTAGATTCAAGTACACAAACATTCACCTTTACTTATTTTTTTTCAGTTGGGATGACATTACAAAAAAGTTTTTCAGTGGTGCAGGCTGCTAGGTTTTGTAGTGCTGCAACTGATCAATGTACTTGTTTCTCCTATATTTTGATAAAATGAATGTTCAACTATTTCATAAGTAACAATAGAACTTTTTCATCCTGATCTTAAGAGCATTCTTAAAACACTAGAAGCGTATTTATGGGACAACTTTTATAAATATATTAAAATGTGGTTGGAAGAAAAAATAAGGGTATAATTCTAATTTGGGATAATGTGGGACATGCTTTATTTCTTTTGGAAATGTCTCTTGGCATTTGGCAGTGCAATAATTTTATTCTGCTTAGTTTTTATTGATTTTAATGAAAGTTTAAAATTTTTAATATTGGTAAAGCAGATTGTCCATGGAGAATTCTGGTTAGCAAGAAGTGAAATGTTAGAAGTGGAAACAGGCATTTACTTTTGTCTATTTAAATTTTGTCTATTTAAACTTTGATTAACCTTGATTAAGCAATCGTGGTACTTTTCAGCCAGGTGCCACTGTGCTTGGGAGCTTTTTCTGTTTGCTGGCACAGTTGAATTTAGAGCATTCAAAAGAGGAAGCCCAACTACTACTTTAGGGGAAAAAACAGCTGAGAATAAGAAATACTTGGGAGAAAGTACTGAGAAGGTGGACCAACAGGTTTCATAATCAACCCTGTAGATGAATACAGTCTTAATCCTCTGATCAGTTTCACTGTCCAAGTAAAAAAACTGCCACACTTCACTTCTGTGCTTATACAAGCAGCCTTCATAAGCCAAACTAATTTGAATGCTTCCTGGCAGTTTAACAACTGTACGTGTAGAAGCAGTGGATAAGAGAAGGCCAAGAACAAGCAAGCACAGCCACCTACCATGGAATTCCCCCTTTTGTTTTCTATTCCATCTGAACATGCTTTTCATTTGCATTTTCACTGAATATCAAGGAAGCCAACAGCTGAACCACTACCATTACTGAAACATTAAAGATGCTATTTATTTGCTTGTTGGTTTGTTCGTTTAAAGCATTATACAGCCACCCAGCAAAACCTGTGTGACTCTGGACAGCTTACAACAAAATAAACATTAAAACAAAAACAAAACAAAAACAAAAAAATCAACAATACATCATTAAAAGAGAACCTCCCACTTCAGCTATTCCATTATTCATGAAATATCAGGAAGAAATCTCTCAGGTGCGTGTGCAAGAAGTGGTTCTGGAAAGAATGCGGTTTTGTTTAGGTTCCCATTACAAAGTTATGGTAGTGGTAGAGACTGCTTGCAATCCGGTGTGCTTTGTAAGGAGGCATTAGTTAGAAATCCATGAGGTGCATCTGCTGAAAATGGTTTGGATCTACTGAATTTCTGCTTGTAAAAATGCTGCAGGAAACGATTTAGAAAAAATGGCAATTACGTATGTCAATAGAACTGTAAGTTATAGCAGCGTACGATGCTCATTAGTCTCAACAGGTTATGCTGCACAGGGATATTAAGTGCTTAATTTCCAATTGAGCAGTCAATATCCAATCTCCAATCTCCTACTGAAGCAGGCATGAAAATTGGGATCACTTAAGACTCCCACTGGACATGGAAATGTATTTTGATTCTGGAATATTATAATACAGATGAAGCAACTTGAAAGGTTTAAAAATGAAGCGATGAAGCTTACTTAGTTTGGGAAATATTAGATTACTTTTCTCAATTATTTCTGGAGCCTAAAGCCCCATTCAAATGAAGGCCATATTTTATCTAATTAAATTCAAATGAAGGTCCTTTAAATGAATGCTTTTTGTTTTTGAAAATGTAACTTGGATTTCATGAAAGAATGAACAAAAATAAGAGTGTTTAATTTATTTTCAGTCCCATAATGCAGTAAGCAAGGCAAGCCTTGAACCATTACGCTGTTGGCATTGATTATTTTGAATGTGAAACTCTAAAACACGGTTTTTAGGAATTTGATATTTTAACTACGTATGTTTTCAACCATATAGGTTAGATTCATGAACTGCCCGAGGCCAATATGGAGTAGTTAAATGTTTGTAATAAAAAGCCAATTCCTCTACATTCAAAATGTAATTATTGCAGCTTCATTTATGCAGTTTGGCCTGAAAAGTGTGGAAAGGAGCAGTCAGTGGTTGGTGGAGTCTGGAGGCACTGTAGATCAGCTGGTTTTGGTGCAGCTGCAGAGCAGCACCTGGCCAGCTCTTGGAGGCATAGCAGCTCAGTAAGGATGAGCCCAGGAGAGCATTGGCCCTGCTCTCACTCTCTGTCTTGTGGCTGATGCTGGGAACAGGATGGAGGTTGGTTGGGCTGGTCTATAGTATCGAGGTGGCTGTGGGTACAGCATCCTGGGAGACTGAAATGGAAGACTGAAATGGGAGGCTCAGATGCACAGCCAGATGGCAGCAGAAGTAGGCAGTAGTCTTGCAGGAGAACCAGTCTGCGTCCTGCAGCTGCCATCTGACTAACCACATGGTCCAGCAACCATCCTGGGGTGGACTCCATCATGGTGGCTGCTGGCCAGGGGGAAAAGATCTGGACTGGCAAGAACATTCTTTAGGACTGTTGCTTGGAGTGAGAGCTGGTTGTAACTAGACTTGCCGATTGCCCTCAGGTGAGAAGCAAAGGTGGGTGGAGGTTCTACCAGGCCTGTTGGGTGTGAGACTGCCTAGTGGCTTGGGTGAAAGCAGGGGACTAGGGAGAGTGGAGTTTGATGGTGTGAGTGATGGGGTTGGAAACACTGCTCAGGATAGGTGCTGAGTGGTCTTTGAACCATTGGTAAGCTAGGTGGGGGCTTAACCCCCTGTTGTTTCTGTTTGATTGGATGGGTCACTTCATCTTGGGGTGGGAGGTTGTAAGAAGAGGGCAGGGGAGGACACAATGGTAATAGGCATGGGGAGGTATAGTAGGAAACAAGGGGTGAGCCACTCTTGTGAAAAGTGGCCTTAGTGTTTAAAACCGATACTGTGTTCTGGCCTTCCTGTGCTTAGCCCCAAGACCTGTTTTTGAGAGCTTCAGTAGTTCTGGACTCCAGCTGCTGCTACTTAATGCCAGACCAGCCTGCAATAAAGCTCCCCTCATCCACAACCCAATTGTGGGGGATGTCATCCAGCAGCACAGGGTGTGTTCTCATCAATATGCTGATGATACCCAGTTATACCTCTCTATCCCTGGCCAGGCAAGCAATGTTGCCAGTGTTGGTCCAGTGCCTGAAGGCTGTAAAGCTTTGGGTGGGGAAGAACCAGCTCCATCTCAACCCTAACCAGATGGAGTGGCTCTGGGGTTTTGGTCCTCCTGGATCTTGTGAGGTTTCATCTCTGACTCTTGCCGGGGGAGCACTCTGAAAGACAAGGCTGGTGTGCAATTTGGGAGTCCTCCTGGACTTGTGCCTTGTATGCCAATTGTGCCCATTCCTGGACTGGGTAGCCTTGTCATAAACATGTTTTCATTGTTGTTTTCTAAGCCAGCCAGGATTATAGTACATAAAATGGGAGGTACAGTATATAAATCATATCAATGCATAAATAAATTCTAATATAGTTTTTAAAGTCTTTTATATATATAGTCTTATATAAATGTTCTAGACTTTAGTTTATAAAGGTGTGCATGTTCTATGAAAAATTGCACTATGGGAAGAATGACTGTACTTTTGAAATGACGCTGTCAGAAGTAACACTGCATCCCAACATAGACAGATTCCCCATTAAAATGCTTTCTCTGGAGTGAACTGGGGAAGCAGAAGAATTGGGAAGGGGATTCTGTATGGAACACATTCTGATACTGAGGTGAGATGAGTTTTCCTTCATGTGGAGGGTGGAGATGAGGGAATGTAGTGCTCCCAAAGCTATTGCCAAACCAATGTTTCCCAAAGGCATAACAAATGATGGTTCATTTTGTTCATTTTATATTCTTTTATTTTATTATTATTTTTACATCTTGTCTTTTCTTTGAGAACTGAAGAAGGTATAAACATGGATCTCCACCCACGTTACCCTTAGAATAGCAATCTTGTGCATGAGATTGGCCTGAGAGAAGCTACCCAGTAATTTAAGATTTTGAGAATAAATACATTTACAGAATTGTTTATTTAATTCAACAGAATAATTATTTACTACCCAGTTGAAGTTTTTATCTATAAATAAATGGATATTGGATCTGCATTATCTTGAAAAGAATGATTCAGACACACACCCAGAGCCCCTCATCAATTCACAAATGTAGCCTTAAAGATAGTAAATGATCAGTTTAGGAAACGTCTTCCTGAGCCTTTTTAAAAATACCTAATTTGGTATAGTTATTCCAACACATAAGGGCTGTAGGAAACTCACTGGTGACTTTGGGCTAGTCACACTCTCTCAGCCTACCCACTTCACAGGGTTGTGAGGAAAATCAGAAGCAGAAGCAGTAGGCCTGTATGCTGCCCTGAGTTGAGCAAAATAAAGGCAGGATAACAATCTGGTAAATAATTACAAATATATGAATACATTTCTAGTTCAGGAATTAGGAGTTTTCAATCCTGTTCTTAGTAGTGAATAGGAGAGATGGCTGTTTTCATGAACCAAATCCCAAAATATGCCCTCTTTGCACAGAGATTGCAAGACGTGCACATTGCCTTTCTTCTGTACTAAACTTAACCTGCTGGACTAACACACTGGGGAACGGCTGAATATTAAATATGCTGTCTGACCATGATCAAGTATGATTCTGCTACGCATCCCTTTTCCATCAAGGCCTTATTTAGAAATGTTAAGAAATGGAAAAAGAGCATTTTAGACTGTACATTTGCATAATTACCCTAAAATATTATTGGGAGTATCAATTATTGATAGCTCTACCCCCTTTCTTAATCCCTCACTTTGGCTTTGCAGCAAAATTTATAGACTGGTCTTAGGTAGAAAGCTACTGCTGAAGACAGCCCTGGGGATCTCCCTTTATGCAGTGGATAGTTTTAGGAGATATTTCATCACTGGAACGTAATGCAGAGGGAACATACACGCATTTGGTTTTATCTGGCCACGTATAAGCCTTTCTTGAATTTGTAGCCCTTGTTTCATGTGGAAATAATATAATCCTTTTATATAAAAAGAAAAATAGGGGAGTCAATGTGTTTAAGGCATTCATATCATGTTGATCTCTGCATTTGCTTTCTCTTCTGCTCCATTTCATACAAGACTAAAATGATGATTTATAAGTCATCAGCAATTGTTGCATCTTCTGTTTACCAGCACAGTGACTTTTTCCGCAACCCATTCTTATATATTTTGTGTTATTAGGAGTTTTTCTACATCAATTTCTTGTTTATGTATTTCTAATATTTATGAATCTTCTACACTATACCCACTCAGAGTGGTGAAAGCACAAGTAATTCCATAGAGACAAAAAATACAGTACAATATTTTTGTGTGAGATAAAAAGAATACTGTTTCTCAAATTTAGTTATCTGAAGCCATTGATTAGCCAAATTTGTTCACTTCTGCAGGTCCACTGAATTATTTAAGGAAAGTATTTGGATCCTATTTTCTTTATTATATAATGTCTGTGCATGTTTTAATTTTGCCATTTTACATCAGAGGAAGGCAACCTTTTTGTAGTGGGGCCATTTTTTTTTCTTAATGGTTTAGCAACTGAAAACTGCAGAGTATAGAGCTATGACATAATGACGTTCCCACAAGAGATTCTACATTTCCCTCCATTCTGGAATTTTTTGAGAAAGGCTCCATATCAACCTGCTCTTGTTGGAATAAAGACAGAAGAGAGCAACTTAAGAGCAAGTGTCTTGAAGCTTTGTTTACTAATATTAGAAATAAGGTTAAAGCTACAACACAAGAATTCCAACAAGTACTCTACTTTCAGATGAGAATCATACATATAAGCAATTTAAGGCAGCAAGATTCTGTTTCATTTTCTCAGAATGTTCTAATGTAAAGAGGCAGAAGCTGCTCTTTTGTGATGGCAGGTCAGACTGCATGTGTTGATTATTTTAGAAATGGGCACTTAGACTTCTCCTCAACGTGAACACCTGCACTCAAATTCAGGCTGCCTGTAGGCCATAGATTCTCCTACTTGAAATGTCCTATAAATTGCCCTGAAATCATTACATGAGATGGAGCATATATATTGGGCTGAGAAATAATTAAAAAAAAAAAAAAACACTGCATCTGTATTACCTGACTGTCAATTCCAAGCATAAGCAACATAGAAAAGAACAGCACTGCCCACAATGGAGAGATTGGAAGTTGTGTTACAGCTTCTGGGTAAGCTAAAAATGCAAGTCCTGGACCTGTAACAGAGGGGGGAAAAATGCATTGTCTCTGAAGTTCTCTTGTGGAATACAAACTTATTGGCCTTATTATAATTTTTAGTATATTTCAAAATATAATGATAAATCTACTGATCAGAATTGAAATAAGTGACTAATAATGTGCAAATTAAAACCTAAACAAATGCAGAATATAATTAAGATTACAGAGCTCATTTTTAAAAGATTCAAGGATTTACATAGTGACAACTTTGTAAATAGCATTTACAATATTCTATTCTATAAAGCTGTTTCATATCAACACATGAAGCTACTTTATACGAAGTCAAAACTTCGACCTACCTAGCTCAGTACTGTCTAATTTGAATAGCAGCCATTCCCCAAGGAGTCTGCAGTCAAGTATCTATCACTAGAACTGCCAAGCCATAAAGTTATTGTTTTTGGCTAAGGGTAATGCATGAACTCACTCATTATAGTTTAGCGTTGTGTGAACCAAATCACTGGTTTTATAATCAGTGTTAGTTATAGGTTATCAAACAAATTTCAACAGTTATTAGATCTTATTAAAAATACTCTGCCATTTAATCCAATTATTGCATTTATTTCACCCATTTTCTAAACTGTTGTTTAACTACATTGATCCATATTCCATTTGCAGTGAGCTTGATATACAGTTAATCTTGGCAATTGGCGATACTGTAGATGAATATTTTAGTTTCACTGCCTCCCGCTTCCACATTATTTCTGTCTTACTCCATTTCATTTCTGAGTAAATTTATGGAAAATGTTCATTTTTGTGAGCTTTTGCAAACATAAATTTTATATGTATCTTTGAGTACTGACCACTTATACACTTCATACAAAATTGATGATTCCATTTTGCCTGGCAAGATGCCACCAAATACTGCATTTCCATTACATAATATTTATTAGTATTACAGCAGTTGCAATATCATAATTAACCAAAATAAAGCTCATTATAGAAGTAACTAAGAACCTGAGGAGCTTTTTCATTCAATAGATATTATGTTAAATATTAATTTTGTAGTGCAGTATATCATCTTGCCACATCAGCTTCCTAGTTTTCCACTTTGCGAAGTTGCTCTCCATTAGGAACCTAAAGTGTTTAATAATATTAAATAACTAGTGTCCTTCCCACTAGATGGGAGTATGACTGTGAACTACTATACCTTTTCCATGATTTCAAAGCCATGGGTGAGAGAGCTGCATATTAAGAGCAGTTAAAACTTTGGAAAACTTTCTCAAGTCCTACGCTTGCACTCAGAAGTGTTTCCAGAGAGTAACTATGCTATTTGGTGCATGCCTTCATATTGCTTATTAATTTGATTTATTTTAGTTTTGTCTCTACCAAGAAGTCACATAATTTGACCAAAAAAATGCTCTGTAATGTCTTACAAAAAGTTAATAAGGCAGATGAACGAAAAGAAATGAGGTGCGAGGGAAGCTAAGGAGGGAGATCACTGGTTTAAACCAACTGGTAAGCCATTCGTTAACTTTACAGCTTATGATGAATGGCTGATCTTCTCTTACACATATTCCTATTGAGTAACAGTGGACTTCAGGCTGATAGATGAAGTTAGAGTATGCTGCCTTTCAACTCTCAGGTCCTAGGTTAATAGTTGATAGAAGCTGACTATTTTGGCCACTGGAAGCAGACAAACAAGTTCCTTCTAGCTGTTTTACCTGTGGTCCATATAAGGGGCAATTTGATCTCTACTTTCCTATGATGTTTTTTATTTATTAAATTTGTATGCTGCCCCACTCCCAACAATATCCTTCCTGAGATCTGTTATTATTTCCCAGTTGGTTCTTGAATCCCTATTGAATTATTGACATTTTGCTTTCAGGCCTCAGAAGTCTGATGGCCAGGGTGCCACATGTCAGTGTGAAGTGTGTGCTTTGCTAGGCATGCAACTGGTATTAATGTCTCACTTATGCAGATAAAAGCGATCCTAGTTTCCAGTAAAAAATGAAGCACTAGAGGATGTTGCCCAAAGTGTGATTCTTCATTCTTATAACTCCAATCAACTTTCAGACAGTATTTCTCTTGCTTGGAATAGCAAAACAGTTCCTGTACAGTAGAAGGAAGTATACAAACTGAAGATTCTGGACTAAGAGATGTTTTAAAGTAAAGTTAGGGTGCTGTGCTATCCAATCTAGCAGAGTTGTAAGATAGCATCTTGTCTGACCATTTGCCCTTTCCAGATCTAAACAGTCAACTAGTTTATTTTTACCTCATTAGACAAAGGCATGGTGAACAGTGGACTATTGGAAGAACTTAGCAAACTTTAGAAAACTTCAGCTGCGCTAAAATTTTACCGCTAAAACAATAACCCAGAGTAAGGGATAACACACCTGATTTTGCAACATCTTCAATAGGGCGTTTGGTTACATAAGCCATAAATCCAACAATGGAGAAAATAACAAAACCAGCAAACATGCTTGTGCAGGAGTTTATGCAGCATACTATGATGGAATCCCTGGGAGAAAAAAAGAGAGAGAGAGAGAGAGAGAGAGAGAGGATAGCATCACTCCAAAAAAACCAGATATTTTATTCATATTACTACTGGCAGGGAAGATTATCTGAAGTTTATGACACTGGATGATGATTTTTCTATGAGTGTGCAAGCTGCAGGGACCTTGCATTGATGAAACGTTTCACCGTGTGAAAGTGTATCACAATGATTTGATGTGACTGAAGTGCATTAGTCCACCTTGTTGAAGAACTGGAGAGGCTGATCTCCCTCGCTTGGAAGTTCTGCTTCATAAACAGCAATTCTGGCCTATACACACTTCATATGCTGTTGCTGAGTAAAGTGAAGCAGTGTGGCGACCCTGTCATTAGATGTGGGCACTATCAAGTAGAATGTTTTGAACAGATGCTTCATGCAAATCTTCATTAAAACAAAGTGCCCCTTTAAAAATCTGCATAATCCTACTATATATGCCTATTTAATCTCTATTGAAACCTTTTCTATTAAAAAAGCCCTCACTCCTTGCTCTGTATTTTTTTAAGGCTTGTGCAGAAAATATGTACTTCACATCAGATATCACAGATGTAACTTAATGAATCTCACCCAGGAATAGCCGGTGAATTAGACCATACAAAGCTGTCATTACTGCCCTAGACATCCAGAGTTCCAGAACTTGTATGGAGGATCAACTTAATATTCTGAATAAAATAATTGCACATTAGTGCTGTCCCCTGTTTAGGGTTTCAGCTGCATTTTTAGAGCTCTGTGTTCGTTGATCACTAAAAGGGGGAAAGAGACACCTTTCTTTATTCCAACCTTCTTGAAGCTCTCTCCTAGTGTATTAGAGGACTTTTATTTGGTAGTATATCATGTTAATGTTGCCATTAATGTTCATTTTGTTAATGTTTTGCCCCTTTTATATATATCAAAGTCACTTGGAATGACTTCTGCCTTTAAAGGAGCCGAGCAGAAATAACAACAATTATGCTACTCAGTAGACCGTCCACATTTGAATGATAACTTTGCCTTCCATTTCAATTTCCATTTTTGCCTTCCTATTGCAACAAGGGCTCACATTCAACACAACTCTGAGTTTGATATGGGCACTCACTAGTGACTGTGTGTAACTAGAGTAAATCAAGGAGACTGTACACTCTATGAATTGGATCAATTGTCCTATAACTTTAATATCTAGGGTACTAGGCTAGTGCAGAATAGTAATTGTTTTACCTGTAAACATTGTTGTTGAATGGGTTGTAACTTCCAAGGGCAATCAGTGAGCCAAGACCCAAACCATAAGAAAAAAAGATCTGTGTGGCAGCGTCCAGCCAGACCTAATTGAGAACGATAAAGGCATTCCAATAAGATTAGGATAGGTAGCTTATATGTAATTCACAGTTGGAAAGAATATCGATCATGAATACAGAGGCAAGACTAACCATGTGACTGTCAGCAAAGACAACAAAGTTATTTGTGGGACTGCTTACCTCAGAGTCTGAAAGCTTCTCAAACTTAGGAGTTACATAGAATAAAATGCCATCTTTTGCTCCGGGTAATGTTACTCCACGGAAGAACAAGATAAGTAACATGATGTATGGATATGTGGCAGAGAAGTATACTACCTAATGCAAAGAATAAGACGGATAGCTTGAAAGTAATTGCTATGCTAAGCTCTCTCTCAATTAATTTAAAATTGGATTTAAGAAATACAATAAGTAATGTTCCTAGTTTGCTGTCTTAAAATATATGAAAGATGTGATAGTATTTTAAGTGCCTACAATCACATCTATACTATCACCTTGCCCAATACAATGTGTACAGTAATAAGCACAACTCATGTGTAACAATTAAGCTTAATTTATAGAGAGGAAAAATAAATATTGAAAATGCTACAGCATTTAAAACATAATGTAAATCTCTTGGGGGGAGGGGATGTCTCAGCAAGACTACTTTTACCTCTATAGAATACTGTTTTTTTTAGAATATTGTGTTGATTCAACTGGCAATGTATGGCTTTATAAAATATTCTCTTACCTTTCCAGTCCAACCCACTCCTTTCCAGATGCAGAAATATACTAAAACCCAGGCAATTGCCAGAGTAATTGCTAATGGCCAACGAATCTGGCCTGGTTTTTCCAGTCCATCTGTCATCTGGTGCATGTTACGCCTAAAAGTAGAGAACAAATGTAGAAAAATTTGTATTCTATTTGGTTCTGAGACAGTGACAATGGAAATTCATAAGAAGTAAAAAGGTATGGACGTCTTGACTTACTCCCAAAATTCCATAACAGCACTTGTCATGTTGGTGGTGTTTGCTATACTGTAGTTAGAGAAACAGTGGTTTGTGTTCCAGGAATTATCACAGTGTCTCCATGGAAGGGTCTGATTAAAAAAACAGAGGGAATTGGAGCAGAAGAATAAAAACAGTGTTTGACAGAGCAACATAACTTAGATTTATCTGCTTTTCTAGAATAGTGACCAATGTGGAAGGATGAATCAGTACAGTAATCTCTCCTGGATTTATGTCAACTATGAACATGGCCTTTTTCTTTCCAAAGCTTATGATTATATTGCAGTTTTTCTTCTACATTTCCTTAAATTCTAGTTAGATGTGCACCTTTCTGAACATATACAAGTAATGAGTAATAAAGAACATGAAGCATTGCATGTAATTTGGGGATCTGTTTATAATAATCTAACTTGCAATATATAATTGTTTCCTCCCCCCATTTCCTATTGCATTGTACATATATTAATTTGAAAGATTGATTGCTATCTAAGAGTATGTTGGCCTTTCACTATCTCTTTATGTTTCCGGGAGGTTGGGACAAGGTTGTGTTTTATTTAACTAACTAACTTCCTTCCTTCCTTCTTTCCTTCCTTCCTTCCTTCCTTCCTTCCTTCCTTCCTTCCTTCCTT